GACCACAAGGGTATATAGATAATGGACGAGTCCGCGCATCCCCCCCTCCTCCCCTGCGTCCACCTTAACAAACAAATAAAGCTTATCAGCCCTGTAAACCTACCTCTGGCAACTGTCCCACACAAGGCTGTCACGGGTGGGACATACTTCTCTGTTGAATTATTCTTATCTAACAACGTGGAAAGGACAATGCAATTATGGTAAATATTTGCAATGAATTTCTAACATTATGTAACAAACACCAAACACAACCTTAACTTCCGTAATTAAATATAACAACTTTTACCTTTTTTTGCCACGGGTGGGACAATACCAATACTGCTAAATAATAACTCATAATATAGATAAAGCACTCACAAAATTTAATATATAACACAACTTTATTAAAAGCAGATGAGTTCTACTATATATTTTTCTTACCAAACACTTGAATTATGAACTCCAAATTATTTGACAGTGCATTCAACACAACCTACTTTAAACTCAATCAAAAAATTTACTTAGAACTTGTTTTTGCACTGAGGTCCACTTTCCCAGGGAACCTCCCATATATACATTGGACTGCATCACTCCCCATACAAAAAAAAAAGCGGTACTGTTTTCTACTGGAATTATAAAATCTATTATATTTTAAGACTTCTACGAAAATATCTCGTAAATATATTAAGAACTGGACCGATTTGAAAATACCTCCAAAAATTTAGTTTTTTATTAATAAAAACAGTTTTTTAAATATTTTTTGAAAAAAATACCTCGGATGACTAAACAGTTTAAGCTTAAAAAGTTTGCGGAAAAATATTTAAAAAATATTTTCTACGGAATCATGAGAATGAGATTTTTGATGCTGTTTTTGAATTTTTTTTCAAAGACTGGTCACGGTGGGCCTGAACCAACTTTAAATCGAAGGTCATAGCACATCATTTTTTATTGCTAATTTGGGTTATTTATGTTATAAATAATGTGTAAAAATTTTATAGCCCATAACTTGTCGAGCCGTTTTTGAAAAAACTCATTTTAAATAAAAGTATTCCTTTTCTTTTAAAATTTTCATACATACGTATTGGACTACGGATTTAAGCATTACACTGGCCCTTTTTAAAAATTGTAATGTGAAGGAAACACTATTAAGGCTACAACACTCGTTATTTATTTTTTTATGTAATACATTAGTTGTTTTTTAAAATGCACGATATTTTATAAACAACTAAATTTTTATTATTGAAAAGAACATCGTTTATTTCTACAAACTGTACTGGGTATGAAGCAGATCTTTTATTTACTAGTATCGCCCAGTTGTCGGAATTCGACATCTTTTTTCATACAATTTTGAATTTTACCTGTCACAAATACTAACTCCTTTATGCGAATTACGTTTTGAAGTCCACCATCATATTTATAGCTAATTTACAGGAAAACTTAAAATCGAGTTATGAACGTTAATACCGTATTGATTAATGCTAATTCTATCAAGTCTCCTCCAAATTTCTTCAGTTGCTTTTGAAATTAGACCGAAAAAGGAACCTCGATTTTCATTTATAAAAAATATGCATATGTATTTGTATGTACAGAAAAGATGTTCATCACTCACTAATATGTCAAACATATACTAATTCAGACTGTAAATAGTTTTTCGATAATATTTGTCTGAGAGCCTCTTGGAGGTTAAAAACTAAATTACCCACATCTACATAAACTCTTTCTTTTTTCATCAGAATCGTTAACGGTCGAGAAAGTATATTGAATGTTTACACCAAAACATAATATTTCCTTCTCTAACGGCGGTTTCATACGGGTTTTTGTCAAGACTGGGCCAAAGCCCAATATCTTTCCATCACACGACTGGGCTACAAAGTTACACCAAATTTTATGTTACTAACATGTGTTCTAAAAGTGAAATATCAAATTTGATCATAAATATGATTTTTTAGGATAGCTCTCAATCCCTGCGCCAAATATCGGAAGACAAACACACTTATACTTCTAAAAGCTTTTGCACGAAACAACAACGATTCAATGCGATTTTAAAATGTGCGAGAAAATGGTTCCCAGTTTAATGATTCTTGCGATTGCCTTCAAAAAAGGGATTGCAAAATTTTCCTGTGGCGTATTTATATATGGATTATATATGTATTTTTGGACAACTAATAGGCGAGCAGCATGGTGTTTTACATACAACCCTTTAAATTTTTTAAACAGTGGCTTATACATGTTGAGCATTGTATTCTTGTACTGCTCTCAGTAATTTAGATGGTTATTCCGGATGCTTGACGAATACTTTATATTTGTCCCAGTTGCTTTAAAGTCGGAATGTAGGGATTCTACATCTTGCTCGCTATAGAATCCTAGACCCTTGCCTACATGCATGCATGGTCTTTTGGTCTTGCGAACATGTTATTGTTTTGTAGATATACTTGACACAAACTATTGCAAGTATAAAGAATACTTATATTCGAAACTTCAAAAGAACAAATGTTGTGCGCGCACAATCTTGAATTGAATTTATCGGCATCTTGTGCATAAAACAAGCTAAGACACTTGAACCATATACTAACTTGATTGTATATAAATCGTACAAGTTACATTACAAAATAAATATAAACTGTAATGTATCAATTTGTCATCTAGAGCGGGTGCGTGAAAATTTTAAAAGAAAAGGAATAATTTCGATTCAAAATGAGTTTTTTTCAAAAACGGCTCGATAAGTTATGGGCTATAAAATTTTTACAAGTTATTCATAACATAATTAACCCAAATTAGCAAAAAAATATGATGTGCTATGACCTTCGATTTAAAGTTGGTTCAGGTCCACCGTGCTGGTTTAAGAAAAACTTGAATGACTCAGCCAAACCCTTACCAATTTAGACTTATGAAGTATCATTGGTCAGGTCATTGGTCACCATTTTAATTTCTTTACGGATAAACTCATTAAAAGAATAAAAGAGGAAGGTAAGATAAACGAGTGGCATTCCATGTCGAATTAAGTAGGATGTGTTGGTATTTGATAAAGAAAATATTAGGACGTGAATGCATTTTTTTTTTGCAAAATGGGGAAAAAGGTGATAAAATACCTTTCCACTGATACCTCATATCGGTAAAGGTTTGGAGCAGTTATTCAAATTTTTCTTACCCAAATCTTTGAAAAAAGTTAAAAAACAACATCAAAAAACCCCTCATTATTATGATTCCATTGATAAACTTTTTTAATATTTTTATGCAGATTTTTTAAGCTTAAACTGTTTTGTCATCTGAGGAGATTTTTCTAAAAAATCCTTTAAGAAACTATATTTATTCCATTTTTAGAGGTATTTTCAAACCGGTCCAGCTCACTTAAAATATACGGGGTTTTGTAATCCCGCCGGAAAACCGCAACTCTTTTTGGTGATGCAATCTAATATACATATATGTATGTATAACAAAAATTTGCTCCAGCTTTTGCTGAAAGTTAAATAAAAGCTCTGCGTACATTTTTAGCGCATAATCTCAAAAATG